CTCCTAGATTTGAAGTACAGCAATTTAATAAGGTGGCTTCCTACAGTAATCGTACAGTTTAAAACATATTGATTGATTGATAATAGTATTTATTCAGGAAAACCAACATTTATCACTTATTTACTGAGACCAAGGAGTGTTTTGTTATATAGTATATAAGTGTCAAAGTATGAATAGTTCACCGGTTATTGGAGTGAACTTTGAAACCAAAACTTGATAAATGGAACGTCAACGCCGTAAATGTTTAATAAAAAAAGTTTAATAAAATGAACAGTTGGAACTTCAAGGTTGACGCACATGCGCACTGCACCCATTCTATTGTGGACCGGTCAATAAATGATCTATTATGGTAATGCCGTAACGACGTTTTGCGGACTGGCACGTGATACGCTTTTGTTCAATCGGAAAACCGATGTTTGAGGAGAAATTGTTTCTTCTATTTTCACTATCGTCAGCTATGTTTCTTCAACTTTTTGGCCAGATTTTTATTTAAAAATGGTTTCCAGTGCCTTTATAACTAAACTAAACTTTCTATTGTAGTGGACAAAGATGCCGTGAGATGGATTGTTTTAAACAGGATCAAAGAAAATGGGACAGCATTTGGTATATATACGTACTTTGTACTACGGAATCATATTATTTCCATATTTATTTAATAACTGCATCACATAAATTCCATAATCGACATAGTGATATTGTTTTGGCCACTTGAGCCTTTAGCCGTTTAAGTACTTTTTCATACAGTTCAAACATTAATTAACGCAATTTTTGCATTTAATATACTTGGCACGTTATAGCCAGGGGGCGATTATTACTGTAGTACATGGACTTCGTCCTTAACCGGAATGAACAGAACATTAGCTATATATTATATCATGAAATCATTAAATGTACATGCAACCGTTATTTTGTTTTAATTGTATTTTAAGTGGACTTCTATAAAGATGCAAACAAAGACGACTTTTGGGAATTCAGTCTTCAAGAGTCAAGTGTAACTAGTTCACTCAGAGAGCCTGCTCATATATTCCTACAACTGGTTTGTATATTTCTTGCCAATTTCAGAGCCTTCGAGGGGAGACGCAGGGAAAGGTACTTCCCCCCACCCCTTAATTCTCTTATCCAGAATTTTACTTATTTTCATATTTATGCCTTTGTTGTAAAAGCAATTACAAACAATCCATCCACAACGTGCATGACAGCTAGCGTGCATGATTATATCGATAGGAACAAAACATTTCATGTTGGAGAAATACTATACTGATCACATGAGGTTACAAAAAGTGCGTTACAAAATCTTAAATTCGTAAGTGCAAGAACACAGCGCGACTTAGTACATGTACAGCTAGCTCAGTTTGCTGGGACCGGATTCAGCTCGAAACAAGCACAATAAACCAGACAAACGCGACTGTAAAAGTAAACTTATAGCCTTCCCAGCGACCGGTTGTACGAATGCGTTTCAGACACTATACTCGCAATCCACAGTTTAATTCACTATCAGCCGGTAACATTTCGGCTATCTAGTGGTCTTGAGACAGTTTAAATCGCTACTTGGCAGATAAGCTCGAAGTTTAAAGACAAAGTGAGAGAATATTTCAGATAAAAAAGTATCAGATTGTGACAAAAATCAAGCAAACCTACTATATATGGAGTCGATTTTGTATTATCCAATAAACGTTAAAAAACTCACTTAAAAATCACCGAACAATGAAGGCACACGCCCACGGCTTTGCGAAACTTTACTCAGGCCCATGTCATGTTTAGACGCGCATGCAGTATAATTCCGGATATTTTCTCCTTATTTCGTATGGTTTGAAAGTGAGGGAAAAGTGAGCGCCCAAGGAGTGATGGGAAGAGCTAAATGAAGGAAGACTCTGCTAGCTACTTAATGCAATCAATATTGCGTCGTATATAATCGTTTGGAGTTCGGTTCGATATCAACCTTCGAGGGTTAATTAAAACATGTTTCCACTTCCCTTTTCAGGCGTACTTGAGTCTCCTGGAGTGAATCCAATATCAATATCTTCTTCTGTCCATTTGCACCAAAATATGAGATATGAGCTGAGCTATCTAATCATAAATATCCTCTAAATTGCAACATTTCTTTATAAAAATTACTCTACCGACCTTCGATACTCAGATTATGAAGATTTATTTCAATTTCTTCCACATTTCCGTCGATTTCAAGTTGAAAAAGGTCAAACAACTGGTTTGGTTCAAAAACCATACTTCGTTGCATTGGGCTATTCCATTTAATATCCGTCCCCCCCCACCCCCCCACTGTCGAGGATCCATGAATTCTTCAGGGGTAAAGGGTTTTGAGCTTGGAATTCTTCAGGGGTAAAGGGTTTTGAGCTTGGAATTCTTCAGGGGTAAAGGGTTTTAAGCTTGGCATTCTTCAGCGGTAAAGGGTTTTGAGCTTGGAATAATTCAGGGGTTAAAGGTTTTGAGCTTGAAATTCTTCAGGGGTAAAGGGTTTTGAGCTTGGAATTTTGGAATTCTTCAGGGGTAAAAGGTTTTGAGCTTGGAATTATTCAGGGGTAAAAGGTTTTGAGCTTGGAATTTTGGAATTCTTCAGGGGTAAAAGGTTTTGAGCTTGGAATTCTTCCGGGGTATAACTATGAAAAACTTGTATCCTCGACAGGGGGACACGGATATTAAATGGAATAGCCCATTATCTGGCACAGCCTTCCCGGCTTCATTTCGATCTTCCTATCACACCGCGCGCGCGCTCACTTTTATTCAGGAAACTTCATGTACGTTATTTGTAAATACTTAAGAAGGCTCTGCGGAGGAGAGAGTCCCTCGAGCGTGGATCACGCAATCCTGCACGGAAAACCATTCGGTATTCCTTTAATAGTAGACTGATTTAGAAAACACGACGCGAACTGAAAGATACCGCTTTCGACTGCAAAGAAATTCTTCACTGATGCAAAGGCAAAAAGTTTGAATAATTTATGGTTCAACGTTAAACTAAGATTCCACGTTATTGGAGCTTGTTGCGATGATTTTTTGAGGCAAGCTAAGAAGTATAATATTTGAGGCAAGCTACATAAGAAGGAATGTAATATTAATATCCTTAATTATATATTGAAAACCTCATCTTGATCAGCTTTGTTACTGTCAAAATTGACGGATATATGCATGTCATTAGATGAATTGCAAATTAGTTTTCCTTTGTATTTTTGCTCCAAGAATTCATCTAATGAAATCACTATCCGTACAGTTGATCAAGGTACCAAATATTACCCATACCAAACCATATTTGGGCTTAGTGGCACTTTAAATTACGCTACTAACTAGCAAACAGACCTGCAATTTCATAGCACAAGTCACTGCCCTTGGCTATAGCTAGAGCCCTAATTTTGTGTTTCAGGCTTTAGACTTTAACTAATACTCGAAAACGAGGCTCTATAGCCAAAGTGACATACTTTCCTGAAAGGTGTATTGCCATTACGATAAACTGGTCATTTCGGACATTCTATACACGGAGCATGTTAATGTTGAATGTTTAATATTTCTTTTATTAGGTTCGAGATCTGTTTGGTACCATTGATTTCGGGGCCAAAGTTGGTCAAATATACCTTGCGGACCTGCCTGATATAAATTTCCTAAAACCAGTAGTATGGGCAGAACACAAAGACAAGCCCGAGTGCTGTGGTGTTTCTCTTGGCGTGCGAAAGTTTGTTAGACCATTATTCCTTTACATTAAACTAACTCAGTTAAGAAATCTCGAAAATGGTCATAATGGTGTGGATCTTAAAGACGTAAAAGCGTATGAAAGTGCTCTAAAAAGAAAGTACCTACTAAAACCAGAAGCGCCAAGTAACAAGAAAAGTGAGTACAATAATGAGAAAGCCCCTTGTCAAAGTTGTCTGGTGTTTTTTGGGCGTTATAAACTTACACTAAATAAACTGAAAGAGCCGCCAAGCTTTCTTCCATTCGGAAATTGCGCCGAATACGATGTCATTCGAACCAATAACTTGAATTCCGTGCTTCTTGATCTCAAACAAAACACACAGCACTGGGCGCTGTTCGAATCAGCGTGTGAGCATCACTTTCAAGCATTTAATCAGCTGACAACGATTCTGGAGGAAGGTGGTGATCCATCTGAAAGAATAAAACTGTATTATAAAAATACAAGCGAGGCAAAAATTTTAAAATACCAAATGTTTGGCCTAAAGTTCAATCCTCAATTTTCATTGGTTGCCAAAAATTGGCGACCTAACAAAAGACAAGCGAAAAGAAGAAAAACTGTAGCATGACTGTGCTTCAGACTTAACGAAAAGAAGAAAAACTGTAACATGACTGTGCTTTATGACCCGTTTTAAATAGTATATCAGTAATTAAAGTCAGACCGAAGTTCAGCTATCAGACTATAAACAATTAAGGACGTGCACTTTAACTTTTATATAATCTTAAGTACTTTTTTATTATTTTTTAACACTCAATTTTATACTTTTCATCATGTCAATTTTGAGGATGCACGCACATCTACAGGGTGTAGCTATAACAAATTGCGGGACAATTTTCAAATGGCCTTCCACAATAAGGATTCGGGAATGTTGGCAAATGTTCAATAGATATATTCACAGTAGCTCTTCTCCTTTAAAGAACACTAATAAAATTTTGAAAATTGTTATCTTCTAAAGCAAAATGGCTGTTTTGCTTGGCTTGCATTGTTGCGCACAAAAAATGAAAGGCTTAAAATGCAATACCGTATGAATTTTTGAGCGCGGGGATCACGGTGGATTTGAAATGTGGTTTATGAACTTGCTAAAGTCCTTTCCAGACTATCTTGATCACTAAATCTTGGCCTTTTTGCGGCATGCATGGCTATTACATACCAATTTATACATGCAAAATTTATTCGATTCCATGCATGTTCATATTTCTGCAGAATGTCCAAGCCGTTAGCGTCGGGCGGTGCACAATCTCGTTTCCAGAGCATGCCTGTTCGCGGGTTATGTAGTGCCACTACATAACCCGCGAACAGGCATACTCTGGGAGCGAGATTGGGTGGTGCATGTAACTCACATCAAATATACTACCCTTTCGATATCTCGCGCTTGAATACTTCTTTGGCCTGGATCGCTTCTCGTGAATTTATGCGAATTAGTATAGGTAATCATGCGATGGCGAGTACAATTATAGGGATTAATAGTACGAGTGATGTTTGGAAATTTTGCCAAAATTGGACGAGCCGCCGGGACGAGTCCAATTTGGCAAATTTCCAAACATCACGAGTACTATTAATCCATAATTGTACGAGCAACATATTAGCATGACAAAATTGGATACTTCTCAATGTTACCATCATATATTCTCTCGCCAAAGCCCAGTCCTGCCAGATTTTCAACCAAAATTTGGTGCTTTTGTTCGTATTTTCATGTAGTTCCCCAAGGGTAATTTCATTTCACGCTTGTGTTTAAAATACCTTTCCGTCATTTTGTTTGTTGTGGGAAAATCATTAATTGTACTGCGGTACAATTAATGAAATAATTGTGCTCCTCTCAACCAGTGGTGTTAAGTAACGTTGTCCTCTCAACCAGTGGTGTTAAGTAAATGTACTTCGTTA